ATCGCTGTTCACTTCCCCCCCCTCACCTCTCTGTGCCATGGGAAGAACACGCCGCAAGCGGTGCGCTAACCGCGTGGCCCCTCCTTCGGTGCCAGTGACTTGGAATCGGCCGGCGGTGGCCTATCGCGCGTAGATATATGTGTAGATGTGCCAGTGGGGTCGTGGGTTTGCGCGTCTCGATGTTGCTTGCGGTCAAAGTGTGTTTCTTAGGCCTTCGTGGGCTGTGAACAGCAGGGAAATCGAACACTGAAACAGGGGGGCACGCGACATCAGCTGACACAAGGTAATTGCGCCGCTTCCTCCGTATCTATCTAGTTGCGCCGCTTCACTTTATCTCCAACTCTCTCTCTCTCTCTCTCTCTCTCTCCCTCTCCCTCTCTCTCTCTCATCTAACTGCAAATCCCTCACAAGCCCATAATTCCAACCATTAACCAACACCTTCTCAATTCTAGTCTCCACCTCACACTCTTTTCTTGACCTTCCATTCGATCACGCTCCAACATATATACTGCGATTAAAATACCCCAAGTCTTCTTACCCTGACCTAACCTAGGGTTGACTTATTGCACGACAGTTAATAAAAGGGTTTGTTAAGGTGTGGTTCTGGGAGGCGTTTTCCAGCTGGCGAGCCTTTTTATCTCGCCAGCGCTGGCGTATGTATTTGCCGCTGTTGCTGAGCAACATGGGGGCCGGCAGAATATATGATAATGTTTTCGTTTGAAGTTGGCGTCTTGTTTGAGAGTAGATGTGACAGATTTGCGTAGAATAGGGTAAGATGTTATCATGAACGGAGATGAAAGGGCTTTTTCCAACACGGAGATGTAGCATGGATCAAAGCATTTGTTGGATTTCAGCTTTTACAAGAGGACATCAACGCAGTAGTATTTTAGCAAGCTTACGAACGCATATAGGATACCATCAGGATTGTCAATGGTTTTATTTCAAGTTGAAGAGGAGATATTTTTACGATGTAAATGACAGTAGAAATAAGTCCTACATATGTTGTTGGACTTCGTATTGGTTTAATATTCATGTAGAGTATGAGACATTAGGTGAAAGTTTTCTGAGGTACATCTGCAATTGTCGGAAGGCAAAAAAAAAAATATATATATATATATGATGATGGGTGTACCCCATTATTTCTGCCGCGTACCCCCTTTTTGTGTCCTGCGGGCCTGCGGGTCGCTCTTTGCACGAACCACGCACTACAGTGAGTGCAGAAGTGGCGACGCGCAGACAGCAGAAGTAGCAAGGGGTCTGCTGCTGCAGTTGCAACTGGGTGTTGGTATGGATAGATTCCTCCCGTCTACCGGCGGTCCATCTGATGCCGCCAAAAAAATAGTCGTGCATAACCTCGTCCCTCACCGAGGGCGAGGTTATCTCTCGCTTGGAGGACGTTCGATCCTGCGTCAGAATCGGTTCGAGCCTCAATCCCTTCTTTTGGGTCGAAGTACCGGCTCCCAAGTCGTCCATTTTCGAATATGGCATTTCTTCTTCCTTTCGACTGTCGCATCCTCCCGATTCTCTCGTTCCTCATGAGAGGTGGTGGAGAGTGCCGTCAAACCCGTAAAACAGCGGAGAGCACATGGTTGTCCGCGATGTGTGGCAGTACTACAGTACAGCACTCACTGTGAACAGCAGGGGCGCGGGGGGNGTGGGAGCACCGCAGATTTCTGATGTCATGGGGGTATCGCACCATCACGTTTGTTATTTAGGCGTTTCTTACGTTGTGGCCGAGATTGAGCTATTTTTCTCAAGCCCTTTTTTCTTAATTTTTCGTAAAACTTGAGTCTGTATTTGTACGCGAAGGGAAGGGGTAGCGAGTACCGTGAGACGCAGTACCTTCTTTCGAAGACCGTTCATTCGTTTTTTCATGAAACTCAACAGAGCCGTAGAGCCAAGCCGCGGGGGGAGGTTCAGCGAACTCTTCGCGATTTGTGGAAGGAAGGAAAAGCCATCAGGGTAGCTTTTGGTTTCCGCCGGGACAGTGATAAGTACTGATCTGATGTTCCTCGGTGCGACGCTGAAATACGCTGGTTGTCTTTTGTTCATAAAATGAGATAAATATTTGTCTACTTGGACTTTCCTTCTCCTTCCGCTCCCGGCTATGCAGTACATTAGTTGGCCAAGTGCAAAGTGGTGTACTGTTTTTGTTTTCAACATGTCCCGGACTGCTGTACATCTCATTTCCAGTATTATTATTGTAAATATGTTCGACGTCAACAAACGGTTGCCAGTCGTCTCGGCGATGCTGACTTTTCGTACCACCCCCTTCCTTAGCAAAAGACGCGTAGTTTGAGGTAAGCATACCTCCATTGACCCTGGGGATGGTGAGCTATCGTCCCCTGAATTTCAAGGACGGACGCAACCCCGCTTTAAGGAAGCTTTTTTCCGGGAGAAACCATGTGCGTCTCAAAGCGGGGTCGACTGTAGTAGTGTGGTGGAGTGAAGCACGTGTGGTGGGCTGATTGCCAGAATTCACACGCCCAAAGCAAGCCGGGTGACGGTGATCGTATCGGCAACGCTTTCCAACGCTTTCCGTTTTGTATTTAGCTCATCGTGGAGTGGGAACATCTGCATAGAATAATTGCCTCGCAGCCAAGTTGACGAAGCCATTTGACTAGGAAGGTAAAGTGCATGTTCATGCATGCATCATAAAAAACGCATACAATTGTACCAGTCTTCAGAGTCGAAGAAACAGGTTACAATTCCTCGACACCTCTCCGACCATGAGAAACTTAATGTACACAGGGTACAAGGAAGTGCATTGCACCAACAAACGGTCTACCTCCCCCCCCTGGCGCACACCAACATACACACATTTCCCACATTTATTTACAGGAGAACTACTCAAGGTCTGCGCTTCAGGGTTTGAACCGTAAGCCGAGAGGAACGAGATTCTAGCCTATTTAGCACAAACAGCCCCCTGCTTCTACTTGGCGCCGCGATGTATGTGTGTGTTCGTGTGTTTTATTGTGTATATTGTTGTTAGCATCGACCGCTCAAACCGGCTAACCAGTGAAAACACGCAAGTCTCAGTGCGGCCTGGTCTGGGACCGCATGAGGGGGCGCAATGGGGGAGGCTAAGCTACTCTCCACATTCAAGATAGAGACGGTAGCAATAGATAGAGACGGTAGCAAGCTGCACGTGTTTACCCAAGGCTGCTACGATGCACATGTCTTCGTTTCGGAGTGCTTTCATCATGTTCCCACCATCCCCCTTGCATTAGCCACCAGTTTCACCAATGTACCACTATTATTTTATTTTGTTTGCCCTCCGACACTTGCAGATAAATGCAGACACACATAAAAAGTCAATCGTAAAGGCCGTCATGCCTAGCCAAATTAACTCGATGCCCAATAGCTAGGAACTTTTGCCTCTAAGTCAACAAAACTTTGGTTGAAACACTACAGCTGAACTCTAGGCACGAACCTTAGATGGAGAAAAACGAACAAAACCCCAACCTCATCCACCCGAATGTACATTCTTTGGCAGCTGCTCTCTGGTCTATTCTTCCTGCGGCGTTGTTGTGAGGAAGGTGTGTTTGAGTGTGAGTGAATGGCCGGGAGAGCCACACCGGCGACAGTCCGTAACTTACAAGCCCCCCAACAGTGCGGTAAATCCACTCTTTAAGGGCCCGGTCTCTGTTACCCTACAATAGCGGGTCGAGTCCGTGACAACCGATGTCGAACTCCTTACATCGGAGCCCCCTCGTGTAACGTACCCTCTTGTAACGGAGCCACGACTGTACCACATGCGCTTCTGCCTGCATACATGCTGCGAGCAACAGGCATCCTGAAGCATGAACACAATTCTACAGACATAACCACGCTGTACACTACCAAATACGCGAGTCCTTGTTTCCACGCATGAGCACCCTGTCAAGCTGTGTTATCTCACTTGTGGCTTGTGATCCACAACAACGGCGGATATGACAAGTATATTCGTACAGCAATCATTACAACCAAAGATCATCATGATCTTCCGATCCAATAGCATTCATTCAAACATCCTTTGCAACAAAGAAACACGGAATATGATCCGGCCGGTTCACAACAATCAATTCGTCATCTACTTGCGACGATATGCGTCCATAGCCGGAACGCTGCAGTCGATACCACCACGCGGCGCCCTACAAACTACTGGTGGTGGAACCGATCTTTTTGCGAACGCTGGGGTATGACGCGTGAAACATTGTACCCGTTCGCAGTCATTGGTCGACACAATACATTGGACTCTACAGTACGCTGACATGTTCGGGTGGCGACGCGTCCACAAGACGACTACTTCCTAAATAGACATAGATATGCGAACAGATGTCCCAACTACACACATTTAATCCGATGAAAACTACCTGTTGAATGCATCTCGTCTAGTTGTGTAAACGCCTTGACAATATTGACGTGTGATCCCTCACCTGCATCGCCTTCCTCAGAAATCAATCAACGAAAAATGGCCGATTCTGTACAACCCTCGTCATCAGAATTGTATCGCAGCGTGCCTCGGGCAAGAGTGCTGGTCCTCAGGGAGTTTTTTTTTTTGAGGTGGCATGAGGAGGTGCTGCAGGTGGTGTGTGAGAAGGAGGTGGATAGTTATGTGGGTAATGTGTGTGGTAAATCTGGAGTACACATATGACGGACGTGTCGGGGTTTGGTCGGCTCAACTGCGCGATTAACAACACATCAAAGTAAATGTTTCCGTCCGAACACGGCGAGATAGTCTATCTCGCATCACTTGGCAGAGGTATGCCCCGAACGTCTCGTTGGCAGGCTTGTCCTGGCCTCGAGGCGTGAAGTGATGTATGTACAAGGGCGCT